AGGGGCACTTCAGCAGGCGGTATGAGCAGAAGCGGTCTCCACAGCTGCTCGGGCGAAGAGCCATTAACAACTGCCACGTGTGCAACAGCAGCACAGCTGCCAGTGCCAGCAGCCACCGGATTGCGGTCCGCCTGGCAATAAATTCGGTGGAAGAGGAAGGAAGGGGAGGTGGAAGAGGAGAACGCGGAGACGCAAAGGGAGGGGAAGGAGAGCGTGAACGGGAGGGGGAGGAGAGGAGCAAGGAGCGGGAGGGGGAGGAGGAGGGGGAAAGAGAAGCAAAGGGCGATGGGGGAGTATGAGCAGGGCACGTGGGGAAGGTTCACGGAGAGGGTGTTGCACGGTTCTTATGACCTGAAGGGTGTGGCACGGTTCTTATTACCTGACGGTGACAGCATGTTAAGTGGTTCTTATAAGGAAGGGGTGACAGTCAGACAGACGGACAGCAATGTACCTTGAGTGCGCCCTGTTTGCGGATGAAGTCGTTGGCCTTGAAGAGCGTCGCTGTCAGCCACACGACGGTGCAGAAGCCTGTGTGGGAGAGGGAGAGCACAGAAAGATACACGTGTGTGCTGGTGAGTTGGTGTGCTGGTGAGTTGGTGTGCTGGCGTGCCGCGTGCTGGCGTGCTAGCATGCTAGCGCGCTGGCGTGCTGTGAGTTGGTGAGTTGGTGCACGCATGCATGCCAACACAACCACGCATGCTTACCCTCATACCCACGCATGCATGGCAACACAAGCCCAACGCCAATTGCGCTTATTCTTCGATTGCCCACGCACACAACGCCAGCTGAATCTGCTCTTGTGCTGACCAGCCTCACTCCCCACTCACCAATCAGGTGCTGCCTCACTCCCCACTCACCAATCAGGTGCTGCCTCACTCCCCACTCACCAATCAGGTGCTGCCTCACTCCCCACTCACCAATCAGGTGCTGCCTCACTCCCCACTCACCAATCAGGTGCTGCCTCACTCCCCACTCACCAATCAGGTGCTGCCTCACTCCCCACTCACCAATCAGGTGCTGCCGGACTTGCACGAAGAGCAGCAGGAACGCGAACGGCACGGCCTGCTCCAGGCTCCGCGCAGCCAGGTGCATGTCCGACCCGCGCGTTACCGTCCCCCCTCCGCCTCCGCCTCCGCCTCCGCCTCCCCCTTCCCCTCCCCCTCCTCTCGCCCCTTCGTCCGTGTCCTCACCAGGGTTGCCACCAGTGGGACTCCCCCCTCTGTGTCTCCGACCGTCCCTCTGCCGCTCCAGCTGCTCGCCCTGCCTCCTCCCCCTCTTGCTCCTATGATTGCCATTGCCGCCGCTTCCCCTGCGGCGTCGCTTGCCGTCTCTGATGAATCACCTTCGCTCCCTGCTGTCCCTGTTACCGCTAACACCCCCGCTTGTCCTGCCGCTCCTGCTGCCCCTGCTTCTGCCGCTCCTGCTCCTGCGCCACCTTCTGCTCCTGTTCCTGCTCCTGCACCTGCTCCCACTGCTGATGCTGTTTCGGCTTCTCCTGCCGATCCCCTTCCTTCAACCGTTCCTCCAACTCCACCCGCTGCACCATGCGCTCCGTCTCTCCGTCTCTCTTCCCCCCTCCCTTTCCACCCCTCCCAAGTCCACATCCAGCCGAATTTCCCCGCCTGCGTCGCTCTCCCGCCTCTCCGCTCCCTCTATTAAGCTACCCGGAAGTGACAATAACGAAGGCGAGGCGTTGCAAAGCGGCGGAGGATGCGGGGAGAATTGCCATCTGGGATGGAGTTGGGGGGGAAGTGAGACTCCGGAGACTGAAAGGCTCGCCATTGGTCGACGATACTGCCACGTGGGCATCGTACGGCCGTCGCTGAATGGGTGGCGGAGTCTCATAAGGACGGCACCCTGAAACGGCATCCCCGTTGGCGGAGAAGATGCTCGGGTGCGCGGAATCTCCCCCTTGTCCTTCTTCCCCTTCCCCTTCCCCACGAGTTTCCCCGCGCGCGCGCGCTTCCCCTCGTCCTTCCACGTGGCAATCATCTACTCGTTCTTGATCGTTGACCGTCGCAGAACGCTCGGCGCGCTTCTGAGAGGCGGGTGCTATCGCTGGAGGAGGCAGCGGCGGCAACTGCGGAGGGTGCGACCGCGTGACACGTGGCCCTTCTCCCGTCTGTCCTTCAAAAGGTCCACTAGTTCCTAGACCTGGTAGATTTCTCGTAGTTTCTGAATTCGAGTCAGAAAGGATGAGCGGGGAGCTACCGCTTGTAGCGGATCGACTGCTTGTAACGGGTTGGCTGGCGAGAAGAGGGGACTGGCCGGGATTTCGACGCACAGGAGCAGCGCGCTGATCTGAGCCGAAAAACGCGGAGGAGAGACCGAGACTAAGCGCGGATAACGGCGGAGATCCCGCGACGTCGACAACGCGTGGAATAGATGCTGCTCTTGTTGATCCGAGTCCGAAGCGCTGACAAACTGACCGTTTTCGTGCGCCTGCTGCCGTTGAGACTGCTGGCGTGGCTGCTGACGTGGCTGCTGCTGCTGAAGCTGGACGGCCGTCAGTGCTGTCAGATAGCCATTGCGGAAGGAGCTGGTGTCGCTCCTGATTGGCTCGTTCGGGTGCTTGACCACCGCGTCGTCCGCTGGAGCTGGGCTCTTCTCCGCTAGTTGCGCGAAGGATTCTAGACAACGCTTCGATGGGGGAAAATCTCGAACCAAACATGGTCAACACATTGCTGGTGAATCATGCTGAGTCGAACCGCTACGGATTCCAGGCCCTGTGACCCTGGGTTGACTCGGACTAGACGGAACTGGCGGGTTTCTGCTGCCATGGCTACTGCTGCTACTGTTGAGTGGATTAACTTCTTCAGGATCCACCATTGATCGTACCTTGTGTAACTAATGTTGGTGGTAACTACAAGAAAGGGTTAAAAATATGCAAGGGACATCTGAAAGGCACTAACTCTAACTGAACTTACTTTATATGACAAATTCTGGACTCCAACCAAAGAGACAGAATTTCAGGGAACTATGAAGCTTGTTTTCTGGTCGAAGGCGCACGAGCATCCGTACGAGTCGAGGCGCTAACAGGGTTTCTGCTCAGGTTTTTCCATCATAATCTAGCGACCACCTTAGGAATCTGAAATCCCTCAAATCTCGTGTGTGTGTGCCTGATAATGATCTCCTTCAACGGCTCGTTGAGAAGGCACAAGCACACTCCAACCTCGTCGGACATGTGTTGCAATTATCTGTCAACTGCTGGACTTGCACGCTTTGCTCCTGTGACCTGTCTCCAGCCCTCATGCTCACTGATCCTTCTCTGGCAAAAACTTGACGGAATGACGGAGTGACGGTGTGACAGAACTGGACAGAACTGACGGAAAGAGACGGGAAGTGGGGGGAACGCGTAGGTCTGCGGCATCCAGTTCCGCGTTGGCGCAGGTTTTGCGCCACGCGCGTTCTTCGGGAGCCCATCAAATTCCGCGTAAGCAAGCCGCTGACCAGTAAGCTGCACTTGTCCTCGGAGCGGACAAATCGACGGGAGTCGCGCCTTTTCCAACTGGGTTCGGTCGTTCGGACGCGCCACCGGAAGGCTAGCCCAGCCCACGTCAGAAGTGAACTCCGCTGACGGGGTCACGGTTTCGGAGCTGGAGATGTCCGCTGAGGGATACTGTTTCGAATGCCTGTGGCAGAGGCGGGAAAACGGGGTAGGATATTTTTGTGCGTTGGAACTGCTGGGTTTGGAGCAATTCTCTCGTTGCTTCGGTTCGGTGAGCTCCGCCTTGCAGCTCGGGCGCTGGAAAGATCTGACAACTGCGCGCGTACAGCGACGTTCGTCAAGCTCGAGGCAAGGAATTTGGTTCGGTGGCCTTCCTGGCATGGTAGCGACCATGTTCCAGGAGTTTCTGAACGATTTCAGGCGCAACAGTGGTTCGAATGTTCTTTCAAAACACTACAACCTCACTTACGGTACCAGTAAGGCTTCAACGATCTCCTAATAAAGTTCGCCACCAAATTTGCCTGCCACACAGGTCATCTCGCCTTCCCTAATATAGTCAGGAAAAAAAACGAAATTCATTTTCTACTCCTGCGCAGCAACCTTGAGCGCAAGAGTGAGGTCATCCAAGCTTGCCTTGGCATACAGCTGGTGCTTCACAATCTCCACCGAGTCCCTCGACGCCACAGCGCCCGTCGCCGCATCCTCCTCGTCCACCGTGTTGAAAATCACAAACGCTGGCGATGTGAAAATAACCTCACGCTCTGTGGGCTCGTGCCTGTAAAGCAGGTTCCCCATGCGTCGCCCCCCGCCAGAAGCCTTGGCGGCAGCAGGGGGGAGTGGGGGAGCAGCAGAGGAGCTGCTGCTGCTGCTGCCAGGGGTGCTGCTGGTTGCTCCAGTGGTGTCGCTGCTGCTGCTGCCCGAAGGTTCCTTCTCCTGCCATAGCCTACCCACGACCCGCCATTCGTCCGTTCGGCTGTCCGGCTCCTGTGATTGGTGGAGTGCAGATTGGAATGAGGGGAAGGAGTGTGGGGTGGGGATGGCAGGGGAAACGGGGGGGAGGAGGGGAGGGGAAGAGCGGAGGGGAGGAGGGGAGAGAAGGAGGGGGAAGGAGGGTTTAATGCAGGAGAGAGGGGGAGGAGGGGCCAGGGGGGCGGAGATGATTGTGGTTCAGAACGGATGCTCCGTCCCGACGCATTCACACCAGATACTCACAGGCAGATGCGGAAGACGGATGGGAGCGGGCAGCAGGCGCACAGACGGCACATCAGTGGCGTTGAGGGCCCTTTCGGACAGCAGTTTGGCCACCAGCCGTGAGCAGCCCTGCAGGCGCTTCCACAGTGACGCCGCCACCATGGCTGTGGCCTCCATGCGCGTGAACGCCCTCAGCAGCACCTCCAAGTCTTCGACTCGTTCGTCGGAGCAACTGCCAGCGCTCTCTGGAGAATGGAAGGGGTGGAGAGGGGTGGGGATGGATGAAGCACAAGAAGCTGCCACCATGGCTGTTGCCTTTTGAGGAAATTCGGAATCCACCAGCTCGGGAATCCCACGTAACAGCAAACCAGCCTACCCCCATGACTCACGATCGTCCAGCCACTGCCACATGCTGGAAACCATGCCCGCCACGCGCTGCCTCTGCTCCGCAACCGGCTCCTCTCGCCCCCCCTGGTCGCGACCCAACAGCAGCACAGCCGACGAGAAGCACGTCGCCAGCAGCTGCCCCAGCAACTCCTCCGGTACCACCGTGTCTAAGTAGTGCAGGATCTGATGGGGTGGAGGGGGGTGGAGGTGGGTGGAGAGGGGTAGAGGAGGGTTAGGGTGGAAGAGGGGGGTGGAGGCTTAGTGCCTGCATTTCAGCAAGCTGCCCCAGCAGCTCCTCCAGTACCACCGTGTCCAGATAGTGCAGGATCTGATGGGGTGGCGGGGGGTGGAGAAGGGTGCGATGGGGGGCGGGAGGGTGTGGGGCAAAGAAGGGAGAGGGGGGAGTGCAGAGGGTTAGTGTCTGCGTTGCAACAAGCTGCCCCGTCAGCTCCTCCGGCACCACTGTGTCTAAGTGGTGCAGGATCAGGATCTGATGGGGTGGGGTGGGGTGGGTGAGTAGGTGAATCAAGTGGATCATTTCAAGAAGCTGCCCCAGCAGCTCCTCCGGCACCACTGTGTCCAGATAAAGCAGCATCTGGAGGGGGGTGATGAGGAGGGGGGGGGGGAGGGGTTGGATGTGAGAAGGGTGAAGAGTCGGGGATGGGAAGAGTGGATCAGGTGGGCGTAGTATTTGCATGTCAAGAAGCTGCCTCAGCAGCTCACCCTCTTTCCCCCATTCCCCTCACTCACCCCCCTCCCCTCACCTTCTCGCACTCAAGGTCAAAGCGGAAAAAACTTTCCCCCATTCCCCTCACTCACCCCCCTCCCCTCACCTTCTTGCACTCAAGGTCAAAGCGGAAAAAAATAGGCCGCTGCTCGTGAGCAGGATCACGCTCAGTGCTGTCGGACTAGCCTTCCCCCACACTCCCCTCACTTCCCACATTGCCCACTCTCGCCCTTCATGCCCCGCACCTTCTCGCCGTCGAGGTCAAAGTGGAAGATGGGTCGCTGCGCATGCGCAGGTTCAGGCTCAGCCCTGTCCTGCAGCTTTGAGTCAACTCGAATTTTGAGTCAACTCAAATCTCCCCTCAGCCCTCACCTTCTCGCCCTCCAGGTCGAAGTGGAAAATAGGCCTCTGCTCATGAGCAGGTTCAGGCTCAGCGCTGTCCCACAGCTCGCGCCACAGGTTGCCATGCACCTCCTCCATGCGCTCCGACAGCCGGCCCCTCGGCGGCCACCCCGACCCATCCACGCGGTGCCGCCGCCGCCTGCTCCCACCGGCCCCACCAGCACCTCTCCCACTGCCGCCCCCTCTCCCTCTCCCGCCCCTGCGCCCGCCACGCTCGTGCTCCTCGCTGTCCCGCCGCCCGCCCCGCCTCCTGACGTCATCGTCCCTCCAGTCGCGCTCGTCATAATCATCACGATCATCCCGGTCCCGGTCGTCTCGGTAACGGTCGTCACGGTCGTCGCGCCTGTCTCGGCCGCGGCGCCGCTCGCCAAACTCGTCCCACTCCTCGCGGTCGTCACTGTACTCCCCGTCCTCTCGCCCCCTGCCCCCCCTGCCCCTTCCCCTCTCCCTCTCTCTCTCCCTTTCCCTCTCCCTCTCCCTCTCTGGGTCACTGTCAGGTTCTGGGCTTCGGTACCTCTCCCTCTCCTCCTCCCTCCTTTTGAGCTCTTCCCTATCCCTACCTCTCTCCCTATCGCTCTCATCCCTCTCCCTCTCCCTATCGCTGTTGTCCCTGTCCTCCTCCCTCTCTCCTTTCTCCACAGCTTTCTTACTCCCTTCCACCCTCGGCTCATCCCCTGAACCACCCTCAACCTCAATCTCTTTCACACCCTCCTTCTCCACTCCTTTCCCACCATCCGCCACACTCTCCCCTACCTCTTCACCCTTCTCTTCCTCGCCTCCCTTCTCCCCATCCTCCACTTTCTCAACGCCATCCTCCTTCCCAGCATCTCCACCCGCCCCTGCTGCCTGCCCCTCACCAGCCACCGTATCTCCAGACTTCTCTTCCTGAGCCGCTTCAAAAAACTCATCTTCTTCCTCCTTGTCCTTCCCGGGACTGCTGCTGCGGCGGCGAGAAGGAGAGCTCTCCTTCTCCTCGTTCCCACCGCGGGTTCCATCCGGGTCTAAATCAGAGTCCCCTTCCCTCGAACTCTTGCCTCCGCCACCATACTCTCTGCCCTCCTCCCTCTCCCTCTCCCTCTCCCTCTCCCTGCTCCTATCCCTGCCACCAGCCTTCCTATCCACCTCCCTGTCAATGTCACTCTCTTCCGTGTCACGCCCTCTCTCTCGCTCCCTCTCCCTCTCCCTCTCTCGCTCCCTCTCCCTATCCATCTCCCTGTCTGAATAATCATCATCACCATACCTCCCGCTCTCCCCATACCTCCCGCTGTCACTGAACCTCCCACTCGCGTCCCTAAAGCTATCATCCCTGTCCCTCAGGCTATCATCCCTCCTGTACCGCTCCTCCTCTCCCCTTCCGTACCTGTTGCCTCCTCCCCTTCTGTACCTGTCCTCCCGATCCTCATACCGGTCGCCCCGGCCGTACCTATCATCATCATCCCTCCCGTACCGCCTACCACCATCGTCATACTCATCATCGTAATCATCCACGTCATCAGAGCCCTCATCCGCGCTTGTGATTGGCAGCCAGTCGTTGGGCGAGTGCCAGCGCACAAAGTCCTCTAGCACTGCCCCGGGGTTTGCAGCTTTGAACGCCGACATGTCTGGAGAAGAAAGGGTAGGAAGAGCATGTGTGTGGGGGGCCGGGGTGGGGAGGCGCTAAGCTATTGCTTTGAATGCTCAACGCCCGCGGAGGCGAGAATGCAGATTGCGCGCTAGAGAGCAGAGATGCACCGGGGCAGCGCAAGAGAGAAAGGGCAAGAAGCATGACGGAAAATCAGAAACAGAAGAAATAAAGGAAAAGAGAGAAAGCAGAAACAAAGACGAAAAAAAAAAAGTTGACTAGACGAAGAACGGACTATACCTGAAGCAACAACGTCACTCTGCATGCGAGCTCGAGTTTCACGCCCCTGCGCACATGACACACGAGCAGACAGACAAGGCAGATGTTACAGTTAGAGCACATGCACTACACAGTACACCCACACATCCACTCACACGCAGCAGCCACATGTTGCCCTTCACTGGCCCCGCTACCCCCAATAAAGACTCACCCTGCCCCCCCCTCTCAGCGAGCTACCAAGTGACTAACCTTGCTTGCAAGTAACCAACCTTCTTACCGCAGGCGCGCTACCAAGAGCCTCCATGGCTCGCTCCTTCTCCTCGATCAATTCTTCACTCATGAACGTCGGGTCCTGGGTGTGTGGCTCCAGCATGCGCCGCCTCACACGCAGCAGCCACATGTCTCCCTTCACCAGCCCCACCACCCCCTGACAAATGACTCACCCCCCCAGAAACTACCAAGAGCCTACATCTGTGGCGCCTCAAGCTGACTCCAACTGAGATGACACAACGGAGGGAACCACTCACTGACACTCACCGCAGGCGTGCTCCCCAGAGCCTCCATGGCTCGCTCCTTCTCCTCGATCATATCTTCACTCATGAACACCGGGTCCTGTGTGTGAGGCTCCAGCATGCGCCGCCTCACGCGCAGCAGCCACATGTCTCCCTTCACCGGCCCCACCACCCCCCGCCTCCGCACGCGGCGCCGCCCCCTCGCCATCGCCCCCGTGAGGCCGTGGCTCGTGCGGCCCCTCTCCGCCCAGGTGTCGTCGTCCGATACGTCGCTCTCGCTGAAATATCTGTGGGTTGTGTAGGCAGGCAGGCAGTGGGTGGGTGGGTGGGTGGTGGATGGTGTGTGGTGAATAAGTGAGGAGTGGATTGAGTGTTGCTGCCTCAAGGGCTGAATGAGGCGCACGGCTCATGCAGGCCCCTCTCTGCCCACTTCTCCAACGCATCGCATGGGCCCAGCCCCCTCCCTGCTCACGATACACCATCCACTCCCCTCCCCATCGCAAACCATCCACTCACCCCCACTTCCCCCCCCTCTATTCCCCTCAAGCACCACATGCTGCACTCACTCATCAAGGTCCTCTTCGCTGCGGTGGGAAGGCGAGTCGCCATCAGCCACACCCCCCTCATCATAGAACGCCACGTCGTGCGACCCGTGCGTGTCCGAGTCCCCCGAGGCCGTCTTGTCGTCGTGGTATGGGCTCGCCCCGTCGCCATTGTCCCACCCGCGTCCTCCCCGCCCCCGGCCCGCCCTTCCATCATGCCAGCCGCCTCCTTCACTCCCAGACCTATCCATCCCCTCCCACTCCTCCTCATCCCTCCCACCCCTCCTGTCACTCCCCCTCCCTCCCCTCTCCCTCCCGCTGCCTCGCCTCCTGCCGCCCCTCCCTGGCGGCGAGTCAGCGCGAGCCGGGCCGTCGTCGAGTGCTGTACCCCTTACAAGCTCCTCCACGCGCTCGCCTACAAGCTTGGCGGCGGCGATTTGGTGCATGCGCTCGGCGTGACGCATGCGCTCCTCCATTTCCCGCTCCTGCTGCTTGCGCCGCCGCTTAATGCACTCCTGCAGCTGCACGGGGGAAAGGGGATGGGGGGCGAAGTGAGAGAGGATAACAGAGGGAGAGATCATTTCAATACCGGCTCAGGAGCTGAACGGGGAAAGGAATTACGGGGTGGTAACGGGGAAATGGGTGGTAAAAAGAAATTAGAGGAACATTCAGGGATGCAAAAACGACAGCAACCCTGCCAGCTGCATCTCTGAGAGACAGTGTGGGGAGAATGTGGCGTCTTAAAGCCACGTACCAGCTGCAGCTTCTGGTGGATGAGGCAGGTGGCGGTGTTGGGAGGCCCGTCTGCAATGACTCGAGGGATGGGCAGCGCCTGCTCCCAGTTCCACCTCAGCTCACGCGTGAACTCCAGCCACAGCGCCGCCACAGCTGAAAGAGGGCCAGAAGGGAGTGCAAGGGGGCAGAGGGTTAGGGATGAGAGAGCAACGAGAGGGGACGCGGCAAGTGTCCTGTTCCCAGTTACACCTCAGCTCACGTGTGATGTGATGTGAACTCCAGCCACAGCGCTGCCACGGCTGGAAGGGGGACAGAGGTGAAGGAACAAGGGGGCAAGGCATGGAATTCTCACAAAAGGAATGCAGCTCGTGCATATGACGCGGCTGCAATCAAGAGGGATGGCCCAGATGCCATGACTAGCGCTACTATGTTTGGCGACTTGAGCGGCGAAGGGGCGGGTGGTAGCCAAACATAGTAGCGTTATTCATGGCATCTGGGCCATCCCTCTTGATCACAGCCGCATCATATGCACAAGCCGCCTCCTCTCCCGTGGCAGTTTCACCGCAGCTCGCGAGTAAATTCCAGCCACGGCTGGGGGACATGAGGGGAAAAGGAAAGGAAGGGTTTTCAAAGAGCAAGCGAAAGATACCCGAGGCCACAGGTGGCATGGACGAGGCGGGCGGGGGTGGCTCACATCTGATGTTGCAGGTGCCAAAGCGCAGCACATGCAGAGCGAGGCGGGAAAAGAGCGAATCCACCGGCGCAGCCTTGCCAATGTGCGTCGCCCCCTTGAACTTGCCACTCAGCCCATTCTCCTCCACCCCTTCTCCCCCTGCACCTTCTGCTCCGCCTCCCTCCGCTCCTGCCCCCGCTGCTCCCTCTCCCCCGGGACCCTTCACCCCACTGCCAGTGGCGCTGGTGTCGGTGGCGCTGATGCTGCTGATGACGCTGCTGGCGGTGGTGATGGTGCCACGGTCAGCGTCAGGCAGCAGGCTCGCCTCCTGCTGTTCTGACGCCTTCCCCATGTACTTCGCCACTGACGCCAGCGCCTCCTCTGCATGGGTGAAGATGGAACGGACGGGAGCCAGGAGAGCGGGGAGGGTGGGCGGTTGCCAGGAGGAGGGTGGAGTGGAGAGTTAAGTCGTGTGTGCAGGAAAGGAAAAAAAAACAAAAAACTGGCCTCCTGCTACTCTGACACCTTCCCCATGTACTTCGCCCCATGGACACTGGGAGCGCTTTTGATGCTTATAAAGAGCGCAAATGTGCAACTCACGCTCCATGACATGGGGCGTGGTTTTGAGGCGCCTTCAACCTTCAAAGGGTTTGTATGCGCTACAGAAAGAGCTCAAGGGTGCCACTCACTGGAGTGGAAGAGGTCCTTGACCACTCGCTCCATGACACTGGGCGGCGGGATGGTCATGTTGTTGCGCCGCGCAAAGTTCTGAGCTGTGATGGGGGAGAAAGAGATGTGGAGCAACAAGACGAGGCAGGGGAAAGAGAGAGAAGAGAACGGGGACGAGATGTGAGGAGCAGAGAAGAGTAAGGAGAGAAGGAGATGCACGATATGAACACCTCCATAAGCAATGGACTTTCCACGGGTACACCAGCCAGCAGCTCGACAGTAATGAATAACAAGATATACTCATATACACCACATACCCGCTATAAAGTCTTCCATGTACTGGCCTGTGGTGGACACCACGTACGCCCCCAGCAGTGCATGCAGCCGTCCAGCAAAGCCCTGAGGGGGGTCGTCACTGTCAAAGTCAGTCCTGCAGGGAGCAGAGGGGAGGTGTGGGAAAAAGAGTGAAAGAGAGGATAGGTGAAGGAAGCAACAGGTGGTTCAAGGGGAGACGTCTTGCCTGCTGGGAGTGAAGGGAGATGCCTCAACTAGAGGGGAAAAGCAGTGCCCTCACCTGGTGGGGGCGAGCAGTGCGCGCAGCAGCCACTCATCCGCGGTAGTGGCATCGAGCTGCTCCATCTGGGCCATGCCTGACGAACTACTCGCCCTGAGCTCCTTCCACGTGGCCACCAGCTCAAACCCCTTCACCGGATCGTCCACCGAGTGCCACACACTCCACGCCATGCCCTCGTCCCACGCCCTCTCCTGCCCCCAGAACTCGTCCTCCTCCTCCTCCACCCCTGCGCCTGCGCCCTCCTCGCTCCCCGCGCCTGCGCCTGCTTCTGCTGGGCGGGTCTTGGAGGGCGGGGGCGCGTCCGGGGAGCCCCAGTAGCGGAGGCGGTAGCGGATGCGCATGGCCACGGTGACGTCAGGGGACACTGATGCTACGGTGCTGGGGAGCTCTGCTATCTGCATGTGTGCAAGGGAGGGTGGGGTGGGGGGAAGGGGAGGGAGGCATGGGGAGAGGGGAGGAGGCGGAGGGGAGGAGGTGGAGAGGGAAGGGAAGAAGGGCGAAAGGGAGGAGGGAAAGAGGGGGAGTGACACGGATGAATGGGGAGCCCCAGTAGAGGAGGCGATAGCGGATGCGCATGGCCACGGTGACGTCAGGGGACACCGACGCTACGGTGCTGGGGAGCTCTGCTATCTGCTCGTGAGTGTGGGGGAGGAGAGGGGAGGGGTGGGGAGAGAGAGAAGGGAGGGATGGAAGGGAGTGAATGGGGAGCCCCAGTAGCGGAGGCGGTAGCGGATGCGCATGGCCACGGTCACGTCAGGGGCATCAGTGTTCGCGTGTGGGGGAAAGAGGGAATGGTTTGATCATTGGGGAGTCTTAGTGGCCCAGGCGGGCAGTAGCACTTGCGTCAGGGAAAAGACAGAAAGACAGCAAGAGAGAAAGACATCAGCATCAACAGCTTCGGAGCACGCATGTCTCACCAGCTTGAACGCAAAGAGGTAGGTAGTACAGACAGCAGGTTCTGTGGAACGTTGCTGGTGATGCGATCCGCAATAAATAGTCCCCCATGCCCCCCGCGCCCACCCATGCCTTACCAGCTTAAATGCGAAGAGGTAATAAAGGCCATCAAGAGACAGCAGGTTCTGCGGCACGTTGCTGGTGATACGGTCCGCCTCGTAGTGAAACAGGTAGTCGCCCACGGCCCCCCACCCCCCCACCCGCGCCCAACCCTGTCTTACCAGCTTGAACGCAAAGAGGTAGTAAAGGCCGTCGAGAGACAGCAGGTTCTGAGGCACGTTGCTGGTGATGCGGTCCGCCTCGTAGTGAAACAGGTAGTCGCCCACGCCCCCCGCGCCCACCCCTCCCACCGTGCCTCCTCCCGCGCCCGGACCTGACCGCATGCCTCGGCCCGAGCCTGAGCCCGCACCAGTGCGGGTGGCTCGGGGACCGTGCTGGAAGCCAATGAAGGCCTTGCGGGAGGGGTCGTGTACCGGGACGAAGGATGGCAGGGAGCTGGGGGCGGGAAAGGAGAGAGGGGGGAGGGGAGGAGGAAAGAGGCGGAAGATGACGTGAAGGGGAGCGGGAGGAGAAGAGAAGGGCGTGCAGGGGTTCAGCAGAGGTGCAGGCAATGGATGACGAGAATGCAATGCAACAGCCTCAAGAATTTTGAGTCCGTATGCTGCTCATGCGCTACGCCAGAAGACGTGCTTGACTACTCAAACCCCTTTAGCACCATAGGAAGTGTCACGGGTGGTTACCACTCGGTGTTACACGAGGCGATGGCGAGCGTGCTAAGGAGCATGGAGGCTTCAGGCGAGTCCAGCACAACCCCAGATGCTGTCACGGGTGCCAGCACCTGTGAACGAGAGAAATTGAGTAAAGGGGGGAAGAAGTGAGCAAGGTGAGAGGACGAACCAGGCTGCACGAGTACAAGATCCTCAGCAACAGCTAACCATAGCTTGTACTAAGACTCTCAGAGCATCACCAGCAGCAGGTCGCTCACTCCATAACCTTGTGGATGCCAACCAGAGCTCAAACATTCCGAGCCTAGAGCATAGCAACGGCAGCTCACCACAAACTCTTGGATGCCGAACCAGAGCTGCAGCGGGTGCACGGCCTTCTCCCAGGGGCTGGGGCGGCCCGTGGCGGAGATGGACGCAATGCGCTTCAGTGCTGCTGCTGTCTCCGCCGCCACCGTCGGATGCACGCTGTTGCTGCTCGCCAGTGACACCTGGTGGTCACGGGGGTTAGATAAAGGCGACAGCGGGGATACGCATGCTCAACGGCATGCGCAATGGCATGCTCAATGGCATGCTCAATGGCATGCTCAATGGCATGCTCAATGGCATGCTCAGCGACGCACATGCATGCCTAGCGATGCCCCTGGATATTACGAGGTGGAAAATGTTATGCCCCTGAGCACAGTGAGTGTAGAGTAAGAAACAAGAAACCAAGCGCTTCCTGTGGGAGGCACTGACCTGGAAGTAGTAGGTGAGGCGGTAGTTCTTGTGGCCCTGCGCGTGCTCCGCCTCCACATACACCATCAGCGGCATTCCCTCCACTGGCCGCGCTGCTCCTGACTGCTCGGGGGGGGAAATTGGGGAAGAAGGGGTGGAAAGAGGAGGGTGAGGCACAAGGTAGTCATAATGTGCCATAACTGGCAGAACAGTTAGCCGCTAGATGTTGCCGCTTCACGTAATTAGTTTCACCGACGCACAACGGGCGTAGGCTTAGACGAAGGCATCAGATGGTAAGTGTAGGAAGTATTAGTTTGTGTACAGGTATTAGATTGTAAGTGTAGACGTAAAACTGTGTGGAGGTATCAGAGGGCAAGTACCTGCACGAGGGCCGCAGAGCCTTCCGACAGCCACTGGCGCAGACTGCCTTCCACTGCAGCGATGAACCTGGACACGCGTGGAGAGAATCGGATATGAGGAATAGCGTAGAGCGTAAAGCGTACAGAGGATGCGCGTATAACGTACAGAATATGGCAGAGGACAAGGTGCAATTACGTGCAAGCAGGCGCGCAAGCACACGGTGCTGTGGGGTGATGAACGGTGATGCGCTGCGAGTTGAATTGTGCTAGCAGCGAACGTGCGAGGACTGCACGAGTGGCACGCACCTCTCCCATGGTGAAGCCAACGTGAAGTCATCAAACCCATCGAGCTGTCGACCGTGATTGGACAAGTAAAACACACGTGCGCGCGCACACACACAGACACACAGACAAGAGAGAGAGAGAGTGGAGTAGTTTTTGCAGATGCAATCCGGTTCAGAATGGTCTGGTGAGATTCATTCACATGTGATCCTCTCCAATACATAGAAATTACCGGAACAGGCAACACGGGTAATTCATATGCATATGCTCCTCTCCCCACGCCAGCAATCTCGTACAGAAATACCAACTAGTATAAAAAAATGCTTTAAACGCTTCTTTCCATGCTCACCTCCTCGTCGAACTCGTCGTCTTCCGACGTGGCAGCTGAGAGCGATCGCTGCATCATTGCCGCCATGGTCGGACGATGTTATCTGCAGCCCGCTGACAAAAATAGACAAGTAGAGGCGACCGGAGTAGACAATGTTACCTGCAGTCCGCCAAGAGAGATACTCAATGCGACGACCGGTGTAGACAATGTCTAGCGATGTCTCCCGATTTCGCTGATTATCACAGGTCATTAGATGTAAAAGATCTAGCACAACTGCTGCAATGAAAAAACCGTGGAAAGCAACCTTCGTAACCCAATGCGAATAACAGTAACTTTCATGATGCACGCGAAAAAACTGCCTGATTACCCTGCTGTTCCTGCGTTTACTATATCAAAGAGTGGGCGACGCTCGATAATGACAAGCGCTTTAAATGTGCGAAAATGCGGACTCGGCAAAGGAGCAACCACTCACGTATCTATCTCAAGCCAACCCTCCTGCTGCGGAATTGTACAGCCTCTGATACACACTAAGAGAGCTATTGGAGTAATTGCGACCCTTAGTCCACGTTCATCTTCTCCCAACGCAACGCCAGGCAAGGCAACGCAGAAGCAGCAGCTATTCGGAACGCAGCTGCCGGCCTACTAATGCAAAATTAGTTCCAGCCAGCTCTCATAAACTGGCATTGCAGAAAAGTTTGCACAAATCAACCCACCACTCCCTCCCAACCACGACAAACCATACCGAACCACGCACCAACCACCACCCTTTAGTTTGCAGTTCGACAATCCCAAGGTGTTGGTTGACAGAACGAAAGTGGGGGTGGGAGGGCAGGGCAGTGGTGAAGATGGGGGGGTGACGGTGGCAGATGATGGGTTTGGGCTTGGTGCGACATCCCCCTTATTGAGCTAGGGTCGCTCGCGAGGGTGCATGAAAGTGGTTCCTCATCACCGGGACGGAATGAGTTGTTCAATCGCTTTGCTACTAGCAGTGTACCTAACGTTAGGGCAAATATCAAAATGATGTACAGTACCTCTCTCAAGAATTTTGGCATCTTACTTTCTATGAAATCAAACTTTTCAACATGGCCCCATTGGCACATACACTTTTAGCGGATTAGACAAACACAGAACCTACCAAACCGTCTCCTTGTCTCCTTTTCACCATCGCGACCTTACCCTTGGGGGCTTCTGCTTTGCAGCTTGGTGCTCTGCAGTCCCACTTCAACATCCTGGCTTGCCAGCTCCCTCTGACTTGACTCGCCTGCACTTAACCTCCCCAAGCGATAAAACCCTCTTCTATAAAAAGACTCTGCGCCAAGGAGCCCATCTCCCTCTGCACCACCCTCTTCATGTGCCTCAGATTCGTGTATCACGAAAGAGGGATTCATGTTGGCCCGTAAAGCCACTTGTGTGCTCTTGACATCCAGAGGGAAATCCACCTGAATGCTTTGACAATAAGCCTGCCTCCCCTGCTGAGCTACTCCATCCCTCCCAGATGCACTCTGAGAGTCATCAGCAATAAGTGCCACCTCAGCAGCAGGCAATTCCACCCCATCAAACGCAACAGCAGCACCATTTTCCACCACACCCGCCCCATTGGCACCTATACAAACCACCTGTTCCATCTCAAGCCCCTTTTGCTTGGCTCTCTCCTCCTCCTCTAACTGCTGCAGAGCCCTCTTGCCATGCACCATGAGCAGCAGCAGCACCACCCCTGCTGCTGCCAACCCCATCAGCTCGTACACCAGCTCCACCGCTGTGATGTGCCTCTTGTGGGCCTCCGCCAGATCACTGATCAGCCGACCACTGCAGCAGAGGAAGAAACGAAAATGGATTTAAAAAACGGTTTGAATGAGAGAAGTAGCTTATCATTATTCCAGCCCCACAACTCCAGCTACACCACTCCACTGTAGGTCCAATGGTTATATGGAGATGACAGGGAAGGCAGCTAAGGGCCAGCTTTCCAAAGTAATCCACCAGCCTTGCCACATTAAAGAGCTAGTAACACAAGCAGGATAGATTATTAAACGCGGCTCGACAACAATGGAATGTGACAAGAACCGCGTCATTGCATGTGTGTGGCAGACGCACCAGTAGATGGTGAAGAAGGCTTCGGGAATCATGGCAGTCATCGATGCGCTGATGTAGGGCGCGTACTGGATGCGAGTGGCCGTTACAGCGTCTGAAAAGGATCAGAGGAACAGAGAGGTGGAGGCATTGGGAAGGACTCAACACAAAACCCACAGAAACCAGAGCTTGTCTCCAACGGAAGTAACACCCTAACAACCCCGATGCACCCACGCGAGGAGGGGTAGAAATCTGAACAGCAATCGCGGGTCTACTCACAATTGAAGAGGAGGAACGGAAACGGGGAGAAGCGTAGCAGCAACGTGACCCGGTACTGATGCCACCAGCCGCCGGCCTCAGCCAATCGCAGTACAGCAGCGTTTCGTGGGTGCTCAGCCAACCACGCTTGCACACGCGCGTGGAACAGCCAGTGGCCAATGAAATACGGCAGAGATTGACCGATAAAGGAGCCAACCATAATGAGGATGAAACCCCAAGCGTAACCGAAGACAATCCCAATAAGCCACATGGACGGTCCTGTGGGGAGGAGAACTACAGGGAAGAGACCCATACTGGCAACAGCTGCGACGCCAAGGACTGGGGGGCTTAGATTCTTCTGCTCCCATTCTAGCATAGGTATGATGACGTGGGAGAAGATTAAAGGGCCCAACACGGCCACGAGACCTCCAACCAGCATGAGTAATCCGACGGCGGCCGCCACCCAGATGCATCGGTGTGCATGCAGGCGTGATCTGGACCGTTCATTCACCGTGACAGCCTGTGAATCCATAGCCTCGATCTGGGATAATTTCTCCCTCGCGCGTTCCTCTAAACACGACGATGTCTCAAGATTCGAAGGCGTTCGCGAGACTGTTGACGACACAGTAGGCTCCCGGGTAGATGCTGACGTGGCAAGATTTTCGCGGGTAAGAAGAGTTGCGGCTTCGTGATGGCGGCAGGCGCTGCGTGCTATCGTGCTGTCGCATGCTCTAGACGGCTCGCAGAGAGTCGCCGATTCGCAGGACTCGCGCACAGTCGCCGATTCGCATGACAACTCAGTGTAGGGATCTGGAATAACGACGTCCGAAGGCGACCCTTCTGCGACGAGAAATCGTTCGACACAGCCCACTTCTCGTTGTCGACGGTCTACCATCGTATCAAGAAAAACTTAGGTTGTTGTTTAGTTGTGAAAACAAAACTGTTATGAAACGCATTACCTACAACCTACACAGATGTACGGCACAGCGTGCAACCTTCGGATGCATCGTGTGAAGCTATCTTATCGTACACTGGAATTCACGCTAAAACATCTTTGTCATGACACTACTGGGACCCTGAATAGCTTCTCTGGTACGCAAACGTGAAGTAGAATCCACCGACTACAGAAGCTATCACACCTGCTGAGAAGTAGACACATGATGATGGGGCGAGCGAGGAAGCAGGCTTCCAGCAAGATTGAGTGAGCAGCAGTGGGATTGTCACACCATCACTCCATCATCCAGCCGTCCATCTGTGCTCGACGAATTTCTCGCGCCTTCGCGACATTCCCACCGACCTCCGCGAGCCACTGGTCTGCATCTGTGACTCTGGTAACTCGTCGCTCGTATGCGAGGAAGCATGAAACGGTGTGGTTGGAAGTACAGAGTGATTCTGTACAAAGGAAACAGAATAATCCTGGTATTAGACAGAGAACGCAACACTTATGCCACGTTCTATGTCACTAATTCTTATCTAACATGCTATACATGTCGGATATATGTATATTATATGATGCCACATGATTTTAGAACACAAATTAGCAAAAATCGTATATGCAACTGATGATAGTCGATATGTATGGTATGTGAGTATGTAATGTTACTTAAATGTAATGCGTAGGTCTATTTCCGCTTAGTGTTCACCGTAAACGAGCAATGACGGAACTGCGAGAATATTACCACAACAATCATTCGTTGGCCCGCATCACGCCTCCTTTCCTTTCATGATTGCTGCACTCTTCTGACTGTGACCCCATCAACTTTCCCCTCCAAACCCCCAACACCCCCTCGTAACCCGTTCTATTTTTTCCCCATACCTGATCCCCTTTCCCGAACCGAGCCAAACCTCTCGTACGCCCCTAAGGCCAACCTCCTCTGAAGGCGGAGGTTGCCGTGCCTCTTCCCCGAATTCGAGCTGTTGGATGAATGCTGTTCACTCCTGCCCACCACATCCAGACCGCGGCAGTAGCATTCCAGCGTCGCGGTCCCGTCGTGTGGTCTAGGCGGTTCGTCAAGCCTGCCAAGGGAGGCATTTTTTGCGCGCCTCGGCCGACATTGATGTCAGTGCACTCGGCAAAGGAGAGGAGGGAGGGAGGGGAGAGGAGCGAGGGAGGGGAGAGGAGCAGGAGGGAGGAGGGGAGGGAGGGGAGGAAGGGGTGTGAAAGGTCAAGGGTGTGCCTTTCTCTGATTTCTCATGGAAGCGATCCAGCTTGAATGCTTCTTCTCTCCATGCTTGCCGTTTCGCCTCGCTCACTGAAAGAAAGCAACCTCCATCCTCGTTCCAAAGCTGGGCGTCAGTTGCGGTTGGCGCTGCTCTGCTCTCCCGCCGCACCCTCCACTTTATATCCCGTTTCGCCGTCCATAGATAACGCATCATCGTAATTCGGCTGGAGCTTTGCTACTGTTACTGCCCTTTTTGTCTCAACGTTTATCGAATTCAACTCAGATTCAACGCATGCCTTGTCAGTATCGACAATTTCCGTGAACCATCCGTTTGCAAACGAGCTTACGAGCTTACCGCAAACACCGCCGTCAACTTCTCCTTGCTCGATAGCCCGTCTCGTTAGTTCGCTTTTTTCCCTTCCCCTCGGCTGTTTATTCTCGCTATGGAAGGCGATTTGACCGTTTCTCGATTCCACCTTGGTGACGGTAGTGCCAACAGATTTCCTCGCAGCTGATTATGCTACGGTTGAGCAAAGCACGCGTTGCGAGTTCATCAAAGTCCGTCAGCCGTAGTAGTACCCGTGAGATTCCTTGCAGCCGCATTCGAAACGAAGGGTTCCGTATACACCAGAACCGGCCGTAATACCCGTGAGGTTCCTTGGACACGTGATTCAGGCGAGTCGCCAATTCATTGGAATTGACCGTTTTTGCCCGTGAGGCCCGCTGCGCTTTTCGCGTGGTTACAGCTACTGCACTTTTTCCGAGATTCCGGGCCTTAGATATTTTCTCAGCCACACGCTCGACGCACCGAAGCACTCAGCCTTATCACGAGAAGTCTCGCGTCGTCATCGTCGTCGATTGAATTTCAGCTCGCCTGCATTTTCCGTCCAGTAGTCTGCTGAACGTACCTTATCCGTAAATATTTTCAATCCACACAACATTCACCTCCATACACTTGTCGTCTGAGCCAAGTCGTAACGGCTGTGCGTTAGGCTGCTTCAGCCGGTCGTCTGCAGCTCACAGCTCGCCGTCAGCCCTAGTAAGGACCGCCGCCAGAACACCCGAAGCGCGGTCGAACAGCTAAAGGAGAGTCCCCACACCTGTGCGCCCTTGGATCCCCATTCGTATATAGAGCCTCCAAAGACCTTCGTACAAGTCCTGAATCCCACTCTTATTGTAGATTCTTGCCTTTCGTAAGAGCCTGAGTGAGCTCGAGTGATCGCATTTGGCGTCCCATCTTCAAAGCGAGACGACGGATACTCGCCTTCCAACATTCGAGCCAATCCGTCACTAGGTCACGTCCACGTTCCTCTCCTCAGCATCTCACGTCCGCCCTTTCACTCGACACTTCAAACCAACACAGACTCTCAACAGTTGCCGTGGCATCCGGACGAATCAGCGCCATGGCCCCGCCAACGTCACAAACGTGCGCGCCCCCACGGCACACAAACTGTTCCCCGTCCAGTCGACTCTACACCCCCACGCTCTCGTCACTTGCAAAGTCGCGCGCGAACGGCCCGTCGGAGGCGAAAGGGCTGGAGCGGATGCCCGCGTCGCCGAATGCGTCGTCGTCGTCGCCCGTGCGACGCCGAGGTTCCGCCTCCCCATTCTCGCACGGTCCGCAATATCTGTCTCCGCCAAACAGCCCTCCCGCGTCCCCCCGCCGTCTCAGCTCCCCCAGTTCCCCTCGGCGGCTCAGCCCCCCCGGCTCCCCCAACCGCCTGGGAAGCAGAACCCAACCGCCTCTCAGCTCCCCCGCTTCCCTTGGTTGGGGCGAGCGGAGCGCGCCGTCTACCCGGCGCAACTCTCAGCCCGGCGGCGCCCCCGAGAGCGCAGATTCGGCGGAGAGCCTAGCGATGCGCTTGCGGCGGCAGGTGCAGGAACAGCAGCGGCAGCGGCAGGAGCGGCGGCAGCAGCAGCAGCAGCGAAGGGTCCTGGAAGAGCAGCAGAGGCGTTCGGACGAGCGGTCGGATTGGTCAGGCTCACCGCGAATCACGCTCATGGCGGTCGGAAGACAAGAGCCGCTCGTTTCCCGGCGAATGGAGAAAACGGCGGAGCTGACGGCGCAACTGACGGAGCTTCGTCAGATGACGGTCGAGCTGCCGGAGGAAACGGAGTCTGACGATTCAAGCTCCGTCAACGACTGTGGTTCCGTGAACGAGGCGTCGTCGGGGAATGGCGAGTGGGAGTCGGACGACGCGGACAGTCTCTTCACGGTGAAGCATCTCCGTTATAAGCTTGCTGCGAGCCCCGTTTCTGTGCTGGACCTCAGGCAGCAGGTGACGAGCTTAAAAAAACGAGGCGAGGAATATGACTCGGATGCAGTGACAACGACAAGCAGCGGAAGCAGCGGAGAGCTGGACCCATCGTTGGTGCTCCAGGACTTGTTGTTCACTGGCAGCAGTAAAACTGCAGCAAATCCGTCTTCATCCCCTTCCCGTTCCTCCTCCGCTTCCTCCTCCCTCTCCTCTCTCTCCTCTCTCTCCTCTGTCCCCTCCCCTACCATCCTCTCTCCCTTCTCCCCATTAACTGAAGCTAGAAATATGCTTCCTCCTCCTGCTCTTTCCTCCCTCCCTCTCCCTCTTTCCTCTTTATCTCCGCCTCTCCATTCCTCTTCTCTCTCTCCTCCCTCTCCTTCTCCTCCTCCTCGCTCGCCGTGCCCTGTGGAATCTCTGGCTCTTCTGGACCTATCCAGCACGCAATCTGTTCTAGCTGACGTGGCAGCAAACGTGGGGCTCGCTGACGTGGCGGGGATCGAGCAGGACCTGGAGTACGTTCGCCACGTGTTGCTGCTGTCCGGGTTTGCAGGTGAATCCCTCCCTCCCCGCCGCGACATCCCATCCCTCAGGCTCCCCGTGCGTCGAGAGGTGTTCGAACAGCTTGAGAAGGAGATAACAGGAGAAATTAGCAGCAGCAGCAGCTGTCAAGACAGTGAGGTCGGCAGTCAAGGCAGCAACGGTGGCAGCAGCAGCAGCGACACGAGGAGCACGAAGGGCTCGGAGGAGCGCCGGCAGCGCATGCTGCTGTTCGATGCTATCAATGAGGCCATCGGCCGCACACTCGCTCCGTTCCTCAACCCGCTGCAATGGGACCTTGACACGTGTCCTTCCTCTGCCGCTCGGCCAGTCTCGCTCCGGAAGCTGCACCCGCGACCAGTGGGGAAAGATCTTCTGAAGAGAATCTGGGTGGAGATTCATGATTGGCCGATTCCACCGTCACCCGACGTGTATGATGTGCTTGATGACGCAGCGAGGAGGGATATGCAGAAAGGCGTGGTTCGGTGGTCGCAGGAAGAGATACGAGACTCTGAGGCTGCTACAGTGGCGTTTGATTTGGAGGAGATGATTCTAGACGCTCTTGTTGAGACTGCTTGTAAGGAGTACAGCGAGGTGGAGAGGGAACGGGTGGAGAGGAGGCGAGTGCGGGAGCTGCAGAGGAAAGCGGCCCGGGAGGAACAGGAGAGGGAGAGGCGAAGGTGGAGCATTGGAGGGAGGGCCTGTGCGGCTGGAAGTGAGGTGCCTAGCAATGTCTTTGGGAGGACACTGATCGGGTATGGTAGTGCTGGGAGGATGGGAAGGGCAGCGACCCCACAGAGAGGAGGTGGAAGGTCCAGTAGCAGTGAGAGGGCGGCTGGGAAGGGTGTGGGGTTGCATGGAGTGGATAGGGCCCCTGCCAGGCCCACCACTCCCGTGAGGGCTGTCACTCCTGGGCGGGGCGTGAGGGCAATTGGAGTAGGGAAGGTAGGTCAGAGGCCTGTTGGAGGGGTGGTTGGTGGGGATGTGGATAGGAGGTGGAGAAACTAATACCGGTATGGGCGAGGTTTCACTCGAGCCTTGCTTGACTTGACAGAATGAATGGCTCTGAACCTACATGATATACTGGAGATTACTACCATATACATCAGTGGAGCTGCCTCGGCTCTACCTGTGACCTTTTTCTTCATCTATTACTGTTATTTTTTACAAAGACGTGAGAGCACCTGCTGTCTATCTATTGTCACCTGAAGTCGTCTATATTGAAAAAGCCCCCCAACAACAAGGCTACCTAATAGGAGTAATGGCCACACGGTACTATATCCACCCTGAACAAAGCATACTACAGTAGCAATAATGCTTCCACAACTACGCAACCACAGTTGCAGCTGCTGGTGCTGCCGATGTTGCAGAGTCCTTTGAGCCTGATGGTACAGAGTCGCCATTCCCCACTGCAGGCGCGGACGATGATGGAGCCTCCACCTGATCCTCATCAATAACTTCCTCGTCAGAATCTTCAGCATCGTCTGCTTCAGACGAAGCACCGGCAGCAGCAGCAGCATCCAATGTAGCATCTGCGGCACTGGAACCAGGAGGATTGTCAGATGGGTTGTCTGAGAGATTGGGTGCTTCTGCTGCAGGAGCCGCACTATCAGGGTCGTCCAGTGCTGCTACCTGGCCAGCTAGAAGCGCATAATACGCCTCCTCTTCCCGGCGCAGCTGAATCTCTGCTTCTATCATCCTCTGCTCGTCCATATCAACCAGGCTAGCAGCGTACGCCTCCTGTTCCTGGATCCTTCTGATCTCCTCTTCAATTGCCCTCTGCTCCTCTTCGTTGGACAGGTCTACAGCAGAGGAGGACGTGTGGTCATGCATTTCGGCTTCTGCTTCGGCTGTGGATCGCGCAGGCGTAACAGGAAGAGCAGCAGCACATGCATCCTTCTTTCCTCTTTTTGCCTTAATCTCTGCCTCAATCGCCTTCTGATCTTCCTGTTAGGTACCCAGGTAAGTGGGCAAAAGACAAGAGAGTTGGAGGTAAGCAGATGACAAATTGCATAACGGCCACAGTGGGGGATAGGTGTAAGGGCAGGAGGGGGTGGTGAAAATTGACAAAAAACAGCTTTACACAGTGGACTCCAATAGATGGACCAAATGGATTATGGCCAGGGCAAGCAACTTCTTTACTGGAACTTAATGAGCTGGATACTTATAGCCACAACAGCCATAGGCATTGCCATAGCCACAGCCAAAGCCACAGCCACAGCCACAGCCACAGCCACAGCCACAGCCACAGCCACAGCCACAGCCACAGCCACAGCCTACCTACCTCCATGTCCATCAAAATCTCCTCAGCAGTGCGCCTGCCCCGGTACTCCACAGACGCTCCAGTAGTCACACAGAAGGGACAACTGGGAGAGATTGAGAGGTACGATAAAAAATGAACATTAGGACAGAACGAAGCAGTCAATGCTGTTGGAGGGGTGGAACGCAAAAAAGGACTCACCATTCAATGCTGTGAGTAGCAGGACCCTTCACTACAAGGAAGCATTCTGGAAAACAGAAAACAAGGGAGAAGGAAGGGTAAGAAGGTAGCCAGTAATTCCAAGCCTTCTTGACATATTATCACACATTGCCTACCTGTGCACATCCCCTTCTTGCAACACTTCATCCAGTTCAGACTAGGATAGCCCTGAAAGCACGGGTCAGGACGTTACGTTTGAAGAAGACAGAGAGGGAAAACGCAATTATGAATAAACATAAATACACGCTGACGAGAGCAACGGACCCAAACCAAGGCACCAAGACAATTTAGCAGAAATTTAATGACATAAGGTTAATATCAGGCTGACAGGGCATCCGTTTGAGAGTGATCGCTGCATACCAGAAAGCAAATGGGACATTCGTCGAGATCGTGGCTAAGCTCATCACTCCCCACGTGGCACGGAGCTAACTTCGCGTCGAGAATCAGACGCCGGAGTTCCTCCAGGTTCACGTCTCGGTGGTGGTACAGTCCCTGAGGCCGCGTGTACTGCTCCTCCACAATCGCTTGCTGCTCCGCCATGCGATAAAATAGTTGAACAATTTTGGGAACTAATAACCGTCGTGGATTGATTGTTGATGTTGAGGGGTAAAATTCGCACGGACGTCGCACGGGAATCGCACTTAAGACGCACAAAATTCGCAGAACTTCGCTGTATGCAGCTCACGAAGCTCGAGCCATGCTATTGGCGCCTGCAAGGCTTGATCGCTATACCTCTTTGAATGATGGGAGGAAGCTGATGGGTAAGTCCCCACTGCAGTTGCTCTCGACTCGGCGAGAGATTAAACAAAGCCTCTCTGCTTCAAGACGAGGAAGAGCATCTTGGTGGATAGGCCGACATTTCGGCTTGACACGAGGGTTTCGGAGAGACCCAGAGAGGGAGCAAGCAATTCGCAGCATTGCTGCTTCCAGAATGGCGGTACGCGCTCCGCGTTCTGGGTGCATGGAGCGCGGGGCTGTCCAGGTGAGCATGAGAGCATGCAGGGCGGGTATGGAAGACTCACAGGTCTGCTGTGAAATGAGAACCATGTACAACTGCAGATGATCGGGTCAGATTCAGGAGTTCCAGGAGGTGCTGTTCAGTACGGTTTGGTAGGATATTTCTGCGCGAAGAATGGTTCTGGGAGATGAGAAAGAAAATTGGATTCCCTCTGTTATCGAACTCGGTAGGAGATGCCATTTCATATACCAAACAAATCTAGCTACACACTGAAATAACCTTGAAATCTTCGGGTTTGGCTTCTACAATACACTGCTCCTCGCATGTATTCCTCGAATTCATGACCGCCAAGGCACGAGTCGTGACCACGCAAGCACGAGCTCTCTTTTCGTACCTTGATGATCAGCTTCCTCGGTGTGACCTTGATGATATCGAACACCTAGTGACTGGCGGTACGTAGGTGGTGAGTAGAAATAGCAGTCTCAAGTTGCGCATATAGCTGGCGCAATGGTGTTTATATCGGACGTCGGAAGTTTCGAAGATAAGGTGTTTGTGGTGACGGGAGGTGCGAGCTATGCGGGCGTCAGGCTGTGCCTCGAGCTATTAAGAAGGTACGATCCTGCTTACCTGCCCTCATCCCAACCAACCGACTAGCCTCATCGGCTTTCGCTTCTACTTACAGTGTACACTTATTACTGTATCTCACTCCGAATGTGCGCTCCTGACGAATCCAGCGCATTTCAATTTCGTCCACCTTCCCGTCAATCTTTCAGGGAGGCTCGCGAAGTTCGCTGCTTCGACTTCCCTCGCTCCTCACAGCCACCTCCGCTCAAACCACCCCAAACACCACCATCCGAACCACCCAACCCCTCCTCTTCCTCTCCCTCCTCTCCTCCCTCATCCTCCCCAGACCCCACCTCCATCCTTTCCAAAAACAACCCTCTAGCCTCCTCTCCCTTCCCCCTCCACCTCCTTGCTCAAGCCACCGCCCAGCAACCCACCGGCCGTTCCCGCCTCAGGGTAATCTCAGGGGACATTCGAAACCCTAACGATCTCAACTCCGCTCTTTCAGGAGCCGACTGTGTCTTCCACATTGCATCCTTCGGCGCGTGGGGCAAAGACTCCCTTATGGAGTCACTCATTACCTCGATTAACGTGGACGGTACACTTAATCTGGTACATTGCTGCTTAAACCAAGGCGTCAAGAGCCTGATTTACACTGGGTCCACCCGAGCGGTTTTCGGAGGGCAAGCCATGGGGTACATGGGGGGGAGCAGCGAAGGCAGAAGAGGAAGCGAGAGAAGAGATGGGATGGGGGGAGGAAAGAGAGGAGGCAAGGGAGGAGGAAGGGAGGGTGATGGGGGGGGAGGGGTAGACGAGGCGAGCTGCGGCTATTACCCCATGGAGCAGCACGCAGACAGCTACGGACGGGCCGTGGGCCTCGCAGAACAAATCGTTCTCAAATCCAACATGAGGAAGCTTCTTGGAAAGGGCCGGCTGCGCACGTGTGTGCTCAGGCCTGCCAAGCTCTTTGGTCCGGGCGAGCCTTCCTTGCTCCGTCGCGTCATGGGTCTGGTTCGGACCGGTTTCCTGCGGTTCAGAATTGGAGACCAGCTGGCGCGTTCTGATTGGCTGCTCGTGGATAACCTGGTTCATGCGCAGTGTCTGGCATTCGTTGGCCTTATTCCGGACGGATCCAGCAGCGGTGCTTGCAGAGGGGTTGGCAGTGGTGGGGTTGGGGATGTAAATGGGACGGGAAAGGGCGAGAAGGATAGGAGTTGTGAGGATGGAAGCTGCAAGTCTGCCGGGCAGGCTTACTTCATAACTGATGGTATGGTTCTGAGCAGTACATGCATTTTGGATCCTTGGTTTTGAGTGTCAGACATGCGATGCCATGTGTGCTGCTCGATTTTGTTTTGTTTTTTTTTTTTTTTCGCCTCTGACATCTGTGCTACTCACCTTTGTGGTTCGTACGACTAGCCTTGTCATTCAAAGGTCAGATTCAACCGATATCACGGCTCCTCCCAGTCACTCCCAGTCATTCCCAGTCACGCCAAGTCACTTCCTAGTCACCCTCAGCCCTCTCATTCCCCCTCCCTCCACGTCTACCTCGCAGATGCCCCAGTGAACGCCTTTGACTTTCTCAAGCCACTTATAGCGGCATTCGGGGGAACCCAGCCATACATCCACCTCTCACTGACCTCAGCCCTGTCGCTTGGCTGGTTCACTGAGGCTATTTACCGCCTTCTCTGCCCGCTGTTACGCGCTAACTGGTTACCACAACCGCTGATTCTTCTACCAGCCGAAGTTCATCAGGTTCGTGCCTGTGGTCGGTTTCAATGGCACTCCTTTGCTTCCATCCTCCTACTTTCTTGGTCCCTCAGGTTGCATTCTTGGAAACTTCTGCAGTTTCTGTTTCCCTGGTGGAAATTCTATTACTCCTGGTGGTTCAGAACTTGTCCCCGTCCCATGACACACATATTTCTCATCGCACTCATCCTCTGCAAATACCATCATCCATCGTTCCCCACTGCCCGCCCACCACCTTATTGACTCCCCTTCAGCTGGCAGTGCACCACGTGTTCTCAACAGATAAGGCGAAAACAGACCTTGGTTACCAACCCATAGTGGACCCCCGCCATGCCATGGATGCCACGAGGGCGTATTGGAGGCGCACAGCGCAAAGAGAAGTCCCCAAGCCTCCGCTCATAGTCTGGGTGCTAGTCCCTCTGGGTCTCGCTTTGCTCTACCTGTCGGCCTTTTACCCCCGGCCGTCTCTCCCGCCGCCCGTGTGCTGGGTGCAAGACCTGGGTGTTTTTCTCTTCATGTCCCAGAGTATGCTACAGACGGTGTGGTGGACGGCGCTTGCCATTCATTTAACCGAGGCGAGCATTGCCTGGATGGTGGCTCGGAATTCAGGAGGTTCGGGGGCAAGGGGAGCTGAGGTGGACGGGTTGGAGTGGGACGATGGGGAGGATGGCAAAGTGGGGCCGTGGAGTGAAAGGGAGAATGCAGCAGAGTGGTTCGTGCAGACATTTCTGTTTGGGTTTTGGTCGCTACGGTTGCTGTTGCGGCGTGTCGTCTGGAGGATGGTTGATTCTGAGCAAAATCAGCAGTGACATGATCTGCCGGCTCCTAACATAAGTCTTAGAGTTAGAGCGGAATGATGGATTAGTTCAAAGGTGAGGGGAGGGGCATGTGCTGCGATCAGGTCTGGCTAACTTAGCTAGCTTGCTCAGCTGGCATGCTTTGTAAAATATTTCAGCCATTGTGAATGGAGCCACTAGATTTTGGGGTTAAGTTTCCCAGGATATCATGGAGGATATTAGTTGGAAGATAGGGTGACTGTGTTTGCACATATAATGCATTCCATTGACATGTCTTCATGTTACGGGTGCAATGAGCCGAGGTAGCGAGGATTGCACTAAGGTGTCAAGCGAGTACAAAATGTGAGCGAAGGCATGAGCGAACATTTATACGCGAAACATGCAAACGGTAACGCGGTGCGTGCGAGCTAGCTAGTGCTGCGTTGGCAGCGAGGTTCGGGCTAGTCCCGAAGCGTAGGCCGACACGGCCGGGTCAGCAGTGCGAGGTTTGGTGAGACAGAACGCACGAAGTCGGCGAAGCCCCGTTAGCAGTAACGGGCGAACAACAGCTGCTGCTGTACGCGATGTTGCAGGGCGCGCTAAGGAATGTCGAGAAAATTCCTTACACTACTCCCCCCCTCAAGAAGCCCCCTCCGCTACGCGAGTGCGTGTATATCGCGAAAACCCCGGCTCCTCAAGTACATCTGCAGGGCAGGGTGGTTTTCGATGTTGGCCAGGGGCACACAGCTATCCTCAGTTGGCGTGCGGTCCTTTCAGCGAACAAGGAATTCAATCCTCCTGATTCCCGTGGGGTGTCGAATCCGATGGCTCAGGATTTTTTCGGGCTCGATGATCGGCTCTGATGCAGGGCGAGTCATGGATGGTGGGCGGTGACGAGGCAGTTGGCTTGTGGAAGGGATGTATGGGCGAAGCAGGCTGACGTGGAATGAGGGGCTGATGTACCAGTCCGTCGGCAATAGTAAATGTGTTGTCACTAGGGTAATCATGTGGCTGATTTGGAATGGTCCACAGTAACGCGGTCGTAATTTCGGTACGACGGGCAGTCTTAAGTTCTGTGTATTGAGCAGTACGTAATCGCCTGGCTGGTACGTGACTGGGCGGCGGTGGCGGTCAGCGTTGTGCTTAGCGATGATATTTGCCTTTTTAATTGCTTCAGCGACTCTGGTGCAGACAGCTTGCAGGATTTCGGCTAATTGTTGTGCGCGTGGCGTTGGGTTGTCCGGACTCGGCGTCATGGGCACTGTAGGGTTTTGCCCGTAGTTCAGGTAGAATGGAGACTTCTGCGTCGTCGCTGACATGGCGTTTTTGTACGCGAACTCGATCAGCGGCAGCTGCTGCTCCCAAGTTGTCGGGTCGTCGCACGTGGCACGAATCAACTGCTCCATCGTCTGATTTGTCCGCTCCGTTTGACCGTCGGTCTCGGGGTGGTACGACGAGGGGAACTGTAGCCTGGTCCCGAACTGCTCCTAGAGGTT